GGCTCACGTCTATGATCCTCACACTTTAGGAGACCGAGGCAAGATGATCCCTTGAGGCCAGGAGTTTGAGACCCACCTGGCAAGATTCTGTCTCTAAAATTTAAAAAAAAAAAAAAAATACTAACTCAGCATGGTGGAGTCCAACTACTGGAAGGCTGAGGGAGGAGAACTGCTTGAGCCCAAGATTGCAAGGTTGGAGAACCTATCTCTAAAAAAGAAAAACAAAGACCTGGGAGACCACAAAATATAAAATCTTCTCTATGTAGACTTTTTTTCACACTTTTTTAGATGTTTCTCTGAAGCCAACATGTGTAGATTTACAGTTCCCAGATATTTAAGTGACACATGCTAATATTTGTGTCTTGTACCTTTTGCCAATATGCAGAAAAGCTTGAAGTAAGACATATTTCATGTGAATTAGATTGACAGTTTGAACCTTGTGATTATAAAGGGAGTTTCACTTAATTTTGTGATTATATATTTGTATATCTTTTTCCATACGTTGAAAATCTTGGTTGCCAGTGATAGTAAGAAATTACATCATTGTTCTATTCTACTACTATCTATCTATCTAGATATAGCAGTTAAGAATCACTGTAGAAATTGCATTACTAATAATATAATTACTTAAAATGTTTTTACCGATTGTTTTATCCTTAGTATACATTCCACTGGCAAGTAGAGTTAAATTATGTTCTATAATCACTTGAAATAATTCCTTTCTCTACAGGGAAACCATTAACAATACCTAATTGGGTTCTTCTTTTTAATTTTCCATTTAATTTTCATGGATTAGCTTTTTCACTTTGGTTTAACTTATTTCATAATTATATAAGACATTCATATGTTTTCAAAGTCAAGCATATATAGGAAGGTACTTTTAGAGAAACTCACATTCCATAAATCCAGCTCCTATCTGGTTCCTTCCAGCCTGTCCTCTCTCTCTTTCCCTTATAGAAAAAGAAATATTTACATATATTGAAAATATATAAAAATACTATGTATATATAGATCTATGTGTATCACTTAGAAATATATCCCGTAGATTACTCTAAAGTAGCTCAAAGAGATACACCTCTACCCTACATACAAGGGCTGTCTGGAAGTCTACAGCCATATAACATGAAAAATGTATTTTAACAATGAGTGGATACTTTCATATAGCTGCATATTTCTCCATTATGTGGCCATATTTTAGTTTATTCTACCTGTCACCTACATTATTGATGGACATTTATGATTTCATGTTTTTCATATTATATTCCTATTGTAAATAGTGTTGCAATGAATAACCTTGCAAAGATACATTTTCTTATATTGCCAATATGTCATCAAGGTAGACTTCTAGAA